GTGATGTTTTTTTTTTTTTTTTTTTTTTTTTTTTTATTTTTTTTTTTTTTTTTTTTTTCTTTTATTTTTTTTTTTTTTTTTTTTTTTTTTTTTTTTTTTTTTTTTTTTTTTTTTTTTTTTTTTTTTTTTTTTTTTTGTTTGTTTTTCCCCTCTTCACTTTTATCCGATCCTATTTCTTATCTTTCACTTTTGTTTTTACTTTTGAAGCTTAATATCGTGGCTTGATGGAGTATTGTTTACCTGGAATCTCGGGCAGCTGTTTACCTAAGTTCTCTGTGCGTGAGATCCGAAAACCTCTGTAATTGTAAATGGGCACAGCTACGACGAATGCGGCTGCATGCTAGCAGCCTTCGTGGCCTGGTCGGGGCTAAGCCTGGCCGAGGTTGGGGGGGGGAGGGGAGGGGGGTTCATTGCTTTGCGGGAGGTGATGTCGATGATGTGTGGGTGTGCTTTGTGAGTAGATGTCGAGTGGATGTGGGTGTCTAGACTGGCTTGTTCGCGAAACTAGAGCTTTTTACTTGATTAAATTTATTTCGTTGTGGGGGGGAAAGCGGCTGCATGCAATCTGCGCGGGGAGAAAAGGAGTAGTTCGTATCTTCTTTGTTTTCGATTTTGATTGGATATGATGCCCGGGGAAGTTTCAGCCAGTTGGGGAGGTGGGGGAAGAGGACTGCGTAGCGGGAGACGGGTACTCAACTCTAGGGCGTGGGGGTGAGCTGATTTGGGGCGGAAGTGGTGTCGTCTGGCTGTGAGCAGGGTGTGGAGAGGAGATCGGACAGGAGTGCGTAGCGGGAGACGCGTACTCAACTCTAGGGTGTGGGGGTGGGCTGATTTGGGGTGGGAGTGGCGTCGTCGTTGGCTGTGAGCAGGGTGTGTAGAGGAGATCGGACAGAGTTAGCCGGGGGAAGTCAGTGAGGATGGAAATGGATGTATGAGCAGGATGAAGGACGATGGGGGATGAGGGAGAGGGGGGTGGGGGCTAGAGAGGGGGAGGGGGGGGTGGGTCTCGTGTTTCAGGGTGAGGGGGAGTGTTGTGTAACTGTTTTCTGACGTGACGCTAGATGCAATGAGGGTACTCCTTGTGTTCCGAGGAGCAACAAAGATGTCGTGATGGAGTGTTGGGTCGCGTGGTGATGGGGATGGGGAAGGTGAAGGTGGTTGGTGGGTGGAAGGGGGTGGGGGGGCAATGAGGTTGGGAGTGAGAAAGAGTTGAGAAGATGGATTGTAAGTTTGCCAAGGTGAGGAGGATGGGGGGGGGGGAGAGGCGGGCGGTTGCGACTTATCGCGTTTTACTCCGTTGCTTTTCCTGCATGGAGTCTTGTTGGTCTGTCGACTCATCTCGAAGCGGCGACGACGTGGCTGGCAGCTGGTCCCTGTTGCCCTCCGTTCCTGCGTCCTGTGGGTGACGCATGTTGACGTCTCCGGCGGCTGCAGTATGTGGAGGCTGCTCCTCCACCTGGGGAGGTGGCTGGCGGGTTCTTCGGCTTGTCGGCGGCTTCACGATCGGGCAGACTGGTGATTATACCTTTGTTGATGCGGGCAGACTTCCTCCTGATCTGATCGTGGCTTGGCGCCTCCGAGATGGCACTCACGTGGAAGGAGACGGGGGTCGGGGGTGGCTCCTCCTTGGTGGGAGGAGTGCTAGCGATGGCTGGTTCGCGCGTCCCTTTTGAAATTCGAAGGCGGCGCGGTAAGCGCGGGTGGGCAGGAATGGGCGGTGCGACTCAGTTGCGTTCACGCGCGGGAGGACGGGCGGGCTTCCGTGGGCGAGGCCCTGGGGGCCTGGGCGTTCCCCGGTAGCGCAGAATAGCGCTCCGGTGCGTTAGTGGGTGGCGCTGACCGGACGGTGCCTACGCAAAAAAAGGAAAAAACTTTGAATTGATATTTTCAATTCAATTTTACTTGAAATTTTGAGATTCTGCTTTGCATCTTTCAGTGGTCCTCTCTCAGAGTCTGCTTTGTCATCTTGCATGCGTATGGGCATGTGTATGGGGACATGTTGATGCTTTGATGGATGGCATTTCAATCAGTCACATAACACATTCGCGGCCTCAGAAAGAGACAACAGAGGAAGCCGCAACATTCCACACAGCCATAGCTGCACAAGAGAAGAAAAAGAGGCACTGGGGTTGGGGTGATCAGGGAACAAGGACAGCGGTGGGAACAAGCAACCTTACCTTGCGATGACCACAGAACAGGGTGGTCAGATTCTGCAGCATTGTTATGTGTGTGTGTGTGTGTGTGTGTGTGTGTGTGTGTGTGTGTGTGTGTGTGTGTGTGTGTGTGTGTGTTAGACTTTCCCCACAACAGCCCCAATTCCACCCAGGTGAATAGATTCAGAATCAAAGCAGTCTTTATCCTATTGCAGACAACGAGAGCATTTGAGATGTCCAACATATTAAAGCAATTTTATAATTAGACAGTYTTTYGGTTGTTCTTGGGGTACCCCTTTCATTGTTCTTGCAGCTCCCCTTTTACTGTGCCTCTTACGCGCAAGGCTGCCCACGTTGATTGTGGTTGAGCGGCAGCTGCCCACATCCCCCGGTGCCTCCACAGCCCACTTGCACGTGATTTCAGGAGGCAGAGTAAAAGGGAATGTATGCTCCTGTGCATCTCTTCAGAGCTTCATACTCCTGTCCATTTCATTTCAGATCTTCAGCTTATACAGCCTTTGTGTCCRTCCTTCATCTTCATACTTCCGTTCATTTCATTTCTGATCTTCATATCGTCTATACTCTTAATGATGCTCATTCGTATGTATTTGTTAGTAGTAGGGAGTGGAGGGGAGGGTGGAGGGTAAGGGATAGAAGGCGGAGTTCTATAGGAGTATGGGGCAGGGGAGGTAGGGG